TGATTTTTAGATTCACTTGTTGATAGATGTGTATTGGTTGTTCATAATTTGTATCTGTACCTTTCTCTTCTTCTTCCTCTTCTTAAAGGATACCTTTCAGCATTTCATATAGTCCTGGTTTGGTGGTGATGAACTCCTATAGCTTTTTCTTATCTGTGAAGCTCTTTATCTGACCTTCAGTTCTGAATGATAGCTTTGCTGGATAAAGTAATCTTGGTTGTAGGTTCTTGGTATATATTACTTTGAATATTTCTTGCCACTCCCTTCTGGCCTGCAAAGTTTCTGTTGAGAAATCAGCTGACATTCGTATGGGTACTCCCTTGTAGGTAACTGAGTTTCTTTCTCTTGCTGCTTTTAAGATTCTCTCTTTGTCTTTTGCCCTTGGCATTTTAATTATGATGTGTCTTGGTGTGGTCCTCTTTGGATTCCCTTTGTTTGGGGTTCTCTGTGCTTCCTGGACTTGTAAGTCTATTTCTTTCACCAGGTAGGGGAATTTTTCTGTCATTATTTCTTCAAATAGGTTTTTAATATCTTGCTCTCTCTCTTCTTCTGGCACCCCTATAATTCGGATGTTGGTGCGCTTGAAGCTGTCCCAGAGGCTCCTTACACTATCTTCGTATTTTTGGATACTTTTTTCATTTTGCTTTTCTGGTTGGGTGTTTTTTGCTTCTTCGTATTTCAAATCTTTGACTTGATTCTTGCGATCCTCTAGTCTGCTGTTGGGAGTCTGTATAATATTCTTTATTTCAGTCAGTGTATGCTTAATGTCTCGTTGGTCCTTTATCACAACCTCGAGGGTCTCATTGGATTTCTTGAGAGTCTCATTAAGTTTATTGGTGGTTTCTAGAAAATTCTTGAAAAACCTTAAAAGTGTGGTTTTGAAGTCTATATCCAGTAGTTTGCTTTCCTCCATTTCTGTCATTTGTGTCCTGTTTCTTTGTCTCCGCAATTTTTTATGCTTCACTGTGTCGATAGAGTGGCTTTGTGTGCTAGGTGTCCTATAGGGCCCAGTGGCTCAGCCTCCCCAATTACCTGAGGTAGACACTCTTGGTGCACCCCCTTGTGGGCTTTGTGCACAGTCTTGTTGTAGTTAAGCCTTGATTGTTGTAGGTAACAATGGGAGGGATTGACCTCCAGACCAATTGGCTGTGAGGATCAGCTGTGTCTGCAGTGGGAGAACTTCTGTGCTGGAGACACCCCTCTGGGGCAAGACTTGCTTCCATGGGGCTTTGGTGCTCACTGAGTCTGCCCCCTGAGTGTGTCCTTTATGGATCCGAGGAGCTGCAATCTGGATGGCCCCACTCTGACCACCGGGCACACTGGCTCCTGGATCTCTAAGGAGGTGCTAATTTAGCCTCTGCCTGAGGCTATCCAGCAGGAGCCAGCTTTGACCCAATGCAAGTTGCCCTGGGGCCTTGGGCAGCTTCAGTTTGTTAGATAATTATCAGATTGCAAAGGGCCAGGCCTTTCATATGCAAAAGCCTCTGTGCAAGTCTTGGGTGGGGCGGGGTCCCAGGGGATCAACAGGGCAGAGCAGTTATGGCTGCTCTCAGTCCTGCCCTCAGAGGCCCTGCTGCTCAGTGTCCCGGCAATCACTGCAAGCACCTCTGAGAGAAAGCTGCCCTCGAGTTCCGACCGATGCCAGATAGTCCAGTTTCTCCCATATGAGTCTGGGTCCCCAGAGACTCGCCCGGAACTGGAGCTCAGAGCTTGAGACTCCCTCCCGATTGAAAAAGACAACTGTGTCCTCAGCCGCCAGCCCTCTCCGCATGCACCTCTGTACTTCTGTATTTTACTTCTGCACCACAGCTCCCCTGATTCTCGGTATGCTTTTCTCTTTCCTTCTGGTTGAAGAAGTTCCACTCAGCCAGCCTTCCTGTGGTTCTGGATGATGTCCGTTCCGTCTTTTAGTTGTATTTTTGAAGTGGTTGTGTGAGGCAGCAATCTCTATTGTTTACCTATGCCGCCATCTTGGTTTCTCCTCATTTTTCTATCTTTTCTCACTGATACTGTAGAAGTTCCACATATTCTGGGTTCTAGATTACATGTGTTGAAAATATCTTCTTTCTGTGACTTGTCTTTTCGCTCTTTTTTTTCTTTTTCTTTATTGATTAAGGTATTACATATGTGTTCTTATCCCCCCATTGCCCCTCCCACCCCCCACTCATGCCCACACCTCCCTGTTGTCTGTGTCCATTGGTTAGTCTTATATGTATGCATACAAGTCGTTTGGTTGATCTCTCCCTCTTACCCCCACCCTCCTCTACCTTCCCTCTGAGGTTTGATGGTCTGATCGATGCTTCTCTGTCTCTGGATCTGTTTTTGTTCATCAGTTTATGTTTTTCATTATCTTCCACAAATGAGTGAGATCATGTGATATTTCTCTTTCTCTGACTGGCTTATTTCGCTTATCATAATGCTCTCCATTTCTATCCATGCTGTTGCAATTGGTAAGAATTCCTTCTTTTTTACCGAAGCGTAGTATTCCATTGTGTAGATGTACCACCGTTTTTAATCCACTCATCTGCTGATGGGCACTTAGGCTGTTTCCAAATCTTAGCTATGCTGAATTGTGCTGCTATGAACATAGGGGTGCATATATCCTTTCTGATTGGTGTTTCTAGTTTCTTAGGATATATTCCTAGAAGTGGGATTACTGGGTCAAATGGGAGTTCCATTTTTAGTTTTTTGAGGAAACTCCATACTGTTCTCCACAGTGGCTGCACCAGTCTGCATTCCCTCCAACAGTGCAAAAGGCTTCCTTTTTCTCTGCATCCTCACCAGCACTTGTTGTGTGTTGATTTGTTGATGATAGCCAATCTGACAGGTGTGAGATGGTACTGATTGTTATTTTGACTTGCATTCTTTTCACTCTTTTAATGGTGCCTTTTGAAAATATATTTTTAAAAAGATTTCTAATTAATTTTTAGAGAGAGAGGAAGGGAGAGGGAGAGAGAGAAACATTGATTGGTTGCCTCCTGAACATGCACACACCCTGATTGGGGATCAAGCATGCAACCCGGGCATGTGCCCTTGGGGGAATCAAACCAGAAACTTTCCAGTGCACAGGAGGAAGCTCAACCAACTGACCCACACTGGCCAGGGCTGATGGTGTCTTTTGATGAACTGAAGTTCTTAATTTAAATGTGTTCCCCCCACCCCCCCACTTTATGGTGAATGCTTTTCGTGTCTTTCTTCTTTAAGAAATCATTCCAGCACCACTACTCCCTTAAGCATTAAGCACTCAGCACAATGAGGTTCTGATCAAACGATCTTGGAAGCAGAGTCTTGGGTCTGTTGATCACAGAGAAAGTTTTGGTCAAAGCAGAGATAACATCTAGGCCTCAGTTGTATTTCAGCTTCAGGCCCAAAAGAGCAGTAAGACCAGGCAGGGTGACAGCGGGACCAGCCTTGATGACTAATGACCCCTGCCCTGGCCCAGGCAATCAGTGGAGACCATGACCCTGAAAGGACACACCTGGCAAAGCTGATGAATATTCTATTGAGATCCTCCCCTGGGACCTCCCCTAAGATCCTCCCTTAAGATCTGCCCCTATAGCCCTAACCAGTTTGGCTCAGTGGATAGAGTGTCAGCCTGTGGATTGAATGTCCGGGTTCAATTCTGGTCAAAGGCACATGCCCGGGTTGTGGGCTCAATCCCCAGTAGGGGGCGTGCAGGAGGCAGTCAATCAATGATTCTCTCTCATCATTGATGTTTCTATCTCTCTTTCCCTCTCCCTTCCTCTCTGAAATATATATATACATTAAAAGGCCAGTGGCTGTAACGCCGTAATGCTGTAACGACCAAATGACCGGTCACCAGGAGGTGCATGGAGCACCTCTCGGTTCCTTCCCCTGGCCTGTGAGCTGCTTGCGCAGCATGACAGGGCTCATGGCTCGTGTGGCGCGGAGGGGCTTGTGCGGGGTTCACGTGGCGCAGAGGGGCTCACGGCTCGCATGGCGCAGTGGCTCGCGGCGGTGAGCTGCTCGCACACGGTAGGTCTGGGTCTCACACGATTTTGCGTGCTGTGCTTCTAGTGTGTGTGTGTGTATCCTATATAATAAAGAGGCAATATGCAAATTAACCCTCACGCCATAACGCCATCACAAGGTAGTGGCGCACACAGGGGGGCAGGGCCGCCTGCTCCATGCGCCTACTGTTGCAGTTCCCACGGCCCCGAGAGGGGGCGGGAGGCCCAGTGGCCGCTCCGCGCACCTGCTGCCAGAGTTCCCTCAGCCCCGCCGGGGGGTGGGTCCTGGCTGCTGCTCCGCACAGCTTCCACCGGGGTGACCAGGGCCATCAGATCAGCAGGGGAGGGCAGTTGGGGGCGATCAGGCTGGCAGGGGAGGGCAGTTGGGGGCAACCAGGCTGGCAAGGGAAGGCAGTTGGGGGCGATTGGGCTGGCACGGGAGCAGTTAGGCATCAATCAGGCTAGCAGGAAAGCAGTTAAGAGGTGATCAGTCTGGCAGGCAGAAGCGGTTAGGGGTAATCAAGCAGGCAGGCAGGCGAGCGGTTAGGACCAGTAGTCCTGGATTGTGAGAGGGATGTCCGACTGCTGGTTTAGGCCCGATCCCACAGGGACATCCCCCGAGGGGTTCCAGATTGGAGAGGGTGCAGGTTGGGCTGAGGGAACACCCTCCCACCCCCAGTGCATAAATTTCATGCACTGGGCCTCTAGTATGTTGTATGTGTGTGTGTATATATATATATATATATTTTTTTTCTCTCCTCTCTCTTTTTTTTTAAAGATCCGTCCCTTTAGAGAGGAATGAAGACCTAGTCTCTCTCTCTCTCTTTCTCTCTCTCCCCACCACCACTAGTTTTATCCCATTGGGTATACTGGTATGCTTTGCCCTAAGATTTCAATCTTCTCCTGTGTAAATGAGGTGAGCTACAGAATTTTTAAGACTCCAATACTTTAATTCACCATTTTAGAAAAAGTGCTTTTGAAAATAATTGCAATAATGACTATCATTTGTTGAGTCCTTATTGTCCACCAGGCTCCATGCTTACCACTTGACATTGAATCATGACTTTTGTCTTAACTTTTCTTCAAACTCTAGAATGTGGGACTCTGATTCAATTGGCAGAAACTTGTTCTGTTGGTTCAGTATTTTAGGAGACAATCTACTGCATATATTGGCAGTGCACAAATTGCATGTTGTTAGACACAACTTTCTACTTGAATCAGGACAATGGTCAGAAAGATCACATTGGTCAAGGGAGCAATTAGCCATTTATTTGTGTTAGTTTTCAGGTTTGGCAGGAAACAAGACCAGAATGAGATAAGGAGCTCAGGCCTTTATAGGGTGTGACTGGACTCTTGGACAAAGGAACAGAGCTGCTGTTTTCCTGGCCAGCTATTTTCATCTCTGGCTTATACAAGTGCTCCTAATGTGGTAAAAACAATATTGTAGCAAATGTTTGTTCCTTGAGGTACTTAGAGTTAGCATCCTAACAAGGAGTGTTTAGCTTTAAGCCAATCTCCTTTTGTCTTAACAATAACATTGTTAATGAAATAGAGGCAAGTAGTAAGGTTGGTCTCACCCTTTTTCAAATTAACATTATATCTGCCTCTGTGGGTAAAGATACTTTGTGTTGTTCTTACCTTCACTTATTCATCCAGCCAATCATTTAATATTATTGTCTCCTATTATCAATAGGGTTGATAAGTACATGATAGTAATATTAATACCCCCCACCATGTGCCCATGGCAGAGACTCAATTATTATTATTTTTATTCATCATCAAATTTTATTGATAGAATAATAGCTTGATATCAGTATGAATTCATAATTTTCTCTTTAATTAAATGGCTCACTTAAATCTGTTACTATAATTAATTGATGTTCAAATTGTCCTAGATTTTGACAGTTGAAAACTCTTCCAATTGGTTTCAGTATATTTATTTATGTATTAAAATAATTCTTTATTATTAAAAGTATTACACATGCCTCTTTTTTCCCCTCATTAACCCGCTGCGGCCTGCCCCTCTCCCCCAGGCCTTCAGCATCCTATTGTCAGTGTCCATGGGTTATGCATATATGTGTACAAGGAGACTCAATTATTAATCATCTTGTATTCTTTCTTGCCAAACCTTGATGCGACCCCACAATCCTTCTCAACATGGCATCCAAGCACAAGAGTAGAATTTGCTCCCAGGATAAAATCCACTGCCTTTCTTCTATAGGCTCTCCAGAGACAAAGCCTAGGAACTCACTTTCTAGTGCAGATGCAGGAATGCAACAAACAACTCCAGTTCAGAGAAACCCTGTGCTGTGACAGAGGAGTGGCTGCCTGACTTGAAGCGTGATGGATTTAGTTCCTTTCATGGCATGAGGGTGTCCAACGCGCTCGAATGCCTCGGATCACATTTTTTGTCCTGCCCGGTACAACTTGGCAGTATGTACTCATGCTTCAGTAGTTGTCACATAGGCCACAGCACGCTTGTGTACCAAGTCCCAGATGTGCTTTCAGTTTTATCAGTTTGCAAAATTTGTGTTTACCCCAATTGGATCTGGCAAAGTCTCTCAGGTAGGCTGCCGATCTTTTGCTGTAAATACAGAGGCCTGATGTAAATAATAGCAAAGAGGCAGAGCATGACATCATACTGTATTATTGTACTTTGTCTGTGTTTTGGTGCATGGGAGAATGTGGGCACGGCTGCGTTCATGGCAACCTTTACTCTGCCAGTCAGATGTGTAAGCGCATGAGCCATCCATTCACATGCTCAGTGCTGTGTTTCAAAAGAACCAGGTGTGTCTTTGTTTGGCTTAGCATTACATTTTATTTTCATTTCAAAGTGTGGAGGATCTGTTTCAGAGCTATAGCCATTAGTCTAATTTACTGATTTAAAAGCAGGTGTTAATTTAATATTCAAACTAGTATGCCTAGGAGACCCCGCATGGGGACATCTGAAAACATTTTGAGACAGTTCATTCTGGATTCTCTTAAGTGCACTAGATACAAAATGGAGCAATAGTCCTTTCACTTTGAGGATTTGTAATATAGATACCTAGAAGGGACCAATAATTAAGAGATTATTAACGTTTTCTCCAGAGAGTGTTGCCATGATGATTTTGCAATTCTTATTGTAAAGAAAGCAACTGATGTAAAATGGAAATGAACAGAATGAACAGAACAGAGAAGGAAAATAGCAGACAATGCTTTGTAGACAGCTCCAACTGGAGCCCAATTTCACCTCAAAACTGGGTCTTTCATTTGCATGTATTACATCAGGCAAAGTGGTCTTTTCTATGAAAAGACATCCCAGGACCAGAAGGGTCTTCTTGCTTTATATCTTTGTGGTGACCCAGGCCATCTATACTAATAAAAGGGTAATTGCTAATTAGACTGGACGTCTTCCGGACATCCTTCCGGACGTCCTTCTGGACAAAGCCACGGTGGCAGGGCTGAGGCAGAGGTGGGTTAGGAGTGATCAGGCAGGCAGAGTGGTTAGGGGTGATCAGGTAGGCAGATCAGCAGTTAGGAGTGATCAGGTAAGCAGATAGCCCCTTGCCGGGCTGGCCCCACCCCCAAGCAAAAGATTAGGGATAATCAGGCAGGCAGGCAGAGTGGCTAGGGTTGATCAGGTAGGCAGGCCAGTGGTTAGGGGTGATAGGTAGGCAGATGGCCCCGTGTAGGACTGGCTCTGCCCTCCAGCAGGCAGTTAGGGGTGATCAGGTAGGCAGGCAGAGTGGTTAGGGGCAATCAGGCAGAGTGGTTAGGGGTGATCAGGAAGGCAGGGGAGCAGTTAGGGGCAGCAGGCAGGCAGGCAGAGGGGTTAGGGCGATCAGGCAGGTAAGTGAGCAGTTAGGAGCCAGTGGTGCCAGATTGCAAGAGGAATCCTGGATTGGCGAGGGTGCAGTCCAGGCTGAGGAACACCCCCTCCGTGCATGAATTTCATGCACTGGGCCTCTAGTCCTAGCTAATAAAAGAGAAACATGGTAATTAGTGTACGACCGCTACCCTTCCCATTGGCTAATCAGGGCAATATGCAAATTAACTGCCAGCCAAGATGGCGGCCGGCAGCCAGGCAGCTGGAAGCTAACATGAGGCTCGCTTGCTTCAGTGACGGAGGACTCCAACGTTCCCCGCCTGCCTTGCCGGCCTCTGAGTTTGCAGTTTAAGAAACATTGTAACAAATATAGAAGCTAAACAAAACCCCAGAAACCAGCTTTCAGCTGGCCGGGATCTCAGAGCTGGAGTTGATACAGTGTCTCGATTATAGAACCTAAACAAACCAGATACCTGCTTTCAGCAGCAGAGGCCTCAGAGCTGGAGCCAGAGCTAAAGCTGGCCCAGAATAAAAAAGAAAAAAAAAGAAAAAAAGGAGCGGTTGGGAGCTTCAGTCACCCACCAGCCTGAAAATAGCCCTCAGCCCCTCACCTAGACTGGCCAGGCACCCCAGTGGGAACCCCCACCCTGAAGGGTGTGTGACCAGCTGCAAACAGCCATCATCCCCTCACCCAGGCTGGCCAGGCACCCCAGTGGGGACCCCCACCCTGAAGGGTGTGTGACCAGCTGCAAACAGCCATCATCCTCTCACCCAGGCTGGCCAGGCACCCCAGTGGGGACCCCCACCCTGATCCAGGACACCCTTCAGGGCAAACCAGCTGGCCTCCACCCATGCACCAGGCCAATATCCTATATAGTAAAAGGGTAATATGCCTCCCAGCACCGGGATCAGCGGAGCTGCGAGGCCTCCAGGCACCGGGATCAGCGTGATGGGGGCAGCGCCCAAACCCCCTGATCGCCCTGCGGCTCTGTGTGTGACAGGGGGTGGGGCCACAACCTCCCTATCCGCCCTGCTCTGTTCGTGACAGGGGAAGGTGCCCCAACCCCCTGATCAGCCCTGCTCTGTGCCTGATAAGGGGGAGCTCCCCAACTCCCTGATCGCTCTGCGGCTCTGTGTGTGACAGGGTGCGGTGCCCCAACCCCCTGATCGGCCCTGCTGTGTGACAGGGTGTGGCTCCCCAACCCCCCCCACGGGCCCTGCTCTGTGTGTGATGGGGTAGAGCCATAACCTCCCCATCGGCCCTGCCCTGAGTGTGACAGTGGCGGCACCCCAACCCCCCAATCGGCCCTGCTCTGTGGGTGATAGAGGGCGGCGCCCCAACCCCCTGATCAGCCCTGCTCTGTGCGTGACAGGGGGGAGCTCCCCACGCCCCTGATTGGCCCTGCTCTGTGTGTGACAGGGGGCAGCACCCCAACCCCCTGATTGACCCTGCTCTGTGCGTGACAGGGGGTGGTGCCGCAACCTCCCCATCAACCCTGCCTTGAGTGTGACAGGGGGCGGTGCCCAACCCCCCAATCGGCCCTACACAGAGTGTGACTGAGGGTGGCATCGCAACCTCCGGATTCGCCCTGCTCTGTGCATGACAGGGGGCGGCGCCCCAACTCCCCAATCAGCCCTGCTCTTAGCCCAACCAGGGGCTGCACCTAGAGATTGGGCCTGCCCTCTGCCACATGGGAGCAGGCCTAAGCCAGCAGGTCATTATCTCCCAAGGGCTCCCAGACTGTGAGAGGGCACAGGCCGGGCTGAGGGATCCCTCCTCCCCCCCGAGTGCACAAATTTTTGTGCACCGGGCCTCTAGTCCTATATAATAAAAGGCTAATATGCAAATTGACCGAATGGCAGAGCAACTGGTTGCTATGATGGGCACTGACCACCAGGGGGCAGACGCTCAACACAGGAGCTTTCCCCTGGTGGTTAGTGTGCTCCCATAGGGGCAGCACCTCTCAGCCAGAAGCCCTGAGGCGGGCTCACAGCTGGTGAATGCAGTGGTGGTGGGAGCTTCTCCCGTCTCTGAGGCAGTGCTAAGGATGTCCTACTGCTGGCTTAAGCCATGGAGAGCAGGGCTAAGCCAGCAGTCGGACATCCCCCGAGGGCTCCCGGACTGCGAGAGGGGGCAGGCCCGGCTGAGGGATTATCCTCCCAGTGCATGAATTACATGTACCAGGCCTCTAGTTAATAATAAATAATGCAGATATAGGTAGGTCAAGAAGAGAAGTGATATTATCAGAGCGATTATCTTAGAATACAAAGGATGACATGTAGACCGGGAGTGTGCTGTTTTGATAGAAATTGAGCTATTGATCAATAAAATGTGCATTTAAAATAATTTACCTATATCATCCTGGTACCCACAGAAGTACATGTTTTTAAAATAATTATCCTAAATTGTGGGTACAATTTTCAAGTATTTTTCCCATTAATGTATATTAACTGAATTCATTATCAAAGCTCTTGTCTCCTAACCATTTAGTTTGAGTCCTAAGCAACAAATTTAATTAGGTAATTCAAGCAAGATTCTGTACCCATACCACATACCTGAATTTGGACTTGTAAGAATCTGATTGTGATACAAACTCAAGTGAGAAATATTTCGAAGTCACTGCTTCGTTATGTAATAGTAGTGAGGTGATACAGTACCTTTCATTGAGGACCTCGCCTGCCTTCGTAATACTGTGACAGCACAACAGGTGAGTGGGGGTCAGTGCTGCCATTCTGAGTCCAAAGGCAGTGAGTGATTTGCTGGAAAATCAAACTGGCACCTGCAGGACACATTCCCAAGGATTCAGTTTCCACTGAAGTTGAGATCTGGAATTTGTATATCATTTCCTAAGATTGAGGCTCTTCTTACTCCCCAGCGTCCAGTGGGAGTCAGTGACCCAATAATCTACATCAGTGGTTCTCAACCGTGGCTGCACATTAGAATCACCTGGGAATCTTTTTTAAAATCCTGATTTCTGGGCCTCATCCTCCGGAAATTCTGTTTCTTTGTTACTAATGTTGTGGCCCCACCCCATAACCATCCTCTGGAGGATGAGGCCCAGAAATCAGGATTTTAAAAAGATTCCCAGGTGATTCTAATGTGCAGCCAAGGTTGAGAACCACTGATCTACATTGTTAACAAGCGCCACCCCTTCCCTCCAGGTGACCCTGAAGTCTGGACCACGCTATCAGAATGACTGATCCAGATTTTTAAAACCATCTCCAGCGGTTCTCAACCTGTGGGTCGCGACCCCTTTTGGGGTCAAACGACCCTTTCACAGGGGTCGCCTAAATACATCCTGCATATCAGATATTTACATTACGATTCACAACAGTAGCAAAATTACAGTTATGAAGTAGCAACGAAAATAATTTTATGGTAAGGGGTCACCACAACATGAGGAACTGTATTAAAGGGTCGCGGCGTTAGGAAGGTTGAGAACCACTCCAAACTCCTCATTTTACAAAGGCTCCACAAAGGTAAATGACTTGATTAAGGTCTGGTAGCTAATTGGAAGATCTGCTCTTACCGCCCCCTCCACCCTCCACCTCCACCCCCTCCGCCCTCCACCCAGGACACAGAAATCCAGGAATGTTAGAACAGTTTCTCGTTGAAGGTAACCAGAAAAGCTTATTGCGGTGAGTTTGTGGCATTCCACCAATCTCCCCACCCCACCCGAGCCTCCCCCGGTCGCAAACCTGTATTCTGAGTTAGCTTCCCACTTAGACCATCTCTGATGCTCCAAAACATGGAAAGAAAGTTGCCAGCCCCCGGCTGCCGCGGGGCGTGCGGGGGGAGGCGGGCTGCTCCGCCCCCGGCGCTGGCGGGCGGGCTCCACACTGGCCGCCGAGCGGCGAGCGCGGGACTCGGCGGCCCAGGGCGGGCGGGGAAGACGCGGGGCGTGGTCTGCAGCTTTCCGAGCGCTCGGGAGCGGAGCGCGCCCCGCGGTGCCCCGAGCCTCCGGCTGGACCGAAAGAGCGTGGAGGAGACCGAGCAAAAGGGGCGATCGAGGGAGCCAGGCCGGTAGGGCGCCAACCTGGGCTGGCCCCAGCCCGCGCCCTCGCGGGGCAGCAGCGGGTGAGCGCGGCCGCGGGGCCCCCGCATCCCGTGGCGCCCGGGAGGGAGCGGGCTGCGGTGGGGCGGGAGGAACCGCCGGAGGGAGGGGAAGGGGCGGGGGCGAGGGAAGGAAGGTCCCCGAGCCGGGGGCGGGGGCGGCGAGGGACGGGAACCGGCCGGATGCCCGGGTCCGAGCCCGGCCACGGGAAACTTCGCCCGGGTGGGGAGAGCGGGGTGCGTGGAGGGCGCCGCAAACTTGTCAGCGGGCGGGGCGCTCCGGGATCGGAGCGAGCGCCGGCGGGTGGCGTTGGTCTCCCCGGCTTCTTTGTGTCACCTCCCGGCCCCAGCCCGCCGGTCCGCGGGGTTGGGGAAGGGGGCTGCGCCGGGCGCTCGCCCCTGGTCCTCCCGGTCGCCCCGGTCGGGCCCAGGCCCCGGCGCCCGGGTCCGCTGATTGTTCCCGTCCCCCGCGTCACGCCTGGGCGGGAAAGATTTTGAACGCCGCGTGAGAGCGCCCGGAGCCCAGAGCCGCGGCGCAGATTTGGCCAAATCGTGGGCGGCGCGAGGCTCGCCCCTGGGACCCGCGGACCGGCGGGCGGGGCGCACCCGGCTGGAGAGGGCGCGGGACCCGCGGCGGGCCCGGCAGCCGAGCGCTCGGACGGCTGGGTGGCTCGGATTCTAATTCCATTTTGATTGCTTGGGGTCTTTGTTGTCTGAAATTGCCTTGAGGGTCTGACGGTAGCACCTTCTCCTCCTCAGGTTATTTTCGTAATGGTGGAAAAAAAAAAAAGAAAAAAAAGCGGGCGGCGGGGAACTTGCGGGGAATCAGTGCTGCTCGCAACCGCAGCACGAGTCCCCTCGTTTGAGGGAGGTTGGGAGGTTGGGGAGTCCGGGCAGCATTGGCCTTTGTGCGCGCCTGTTATTTCCGAAAGTTGTTGTCTGCCCCTCCCCTAGTGGCGGGGAGCGTCGGAGCGCGCTGCCAGCAGGCACGGTTGTGCACAAGCGCCAGCAAGCCCCAGCCAAACCGAGCAGGTTCTTTCTGGCCGCTCAAAACTTTGGCGTCAGTCTTTTCTTTTTAAAAGTTTGTGTGATTTCAGGCAACTTTCATATGTTTTTTCTAAGACTGTCCTTAGCTCCGGGGTCTCCCTTGCCGATGTGAAGTGGTGTGAAGATGTGTCCAGGAAAGGCTGGACCACGATGAGGGGTGGGGATTACAATTGGTTACCTCTGGGGTCGCCGCCGTTGAGGCCGTGTCAACTCCAGGGAGAGTGTTCGCGATTATGAGATGGGACATTCGATGTGTTTTTAAACTTTAATGCATAACTCCTTGAGGTTTTTTTCTGGAACACTCTGCTGAGACTCCCAAGGGCCTTATTCCCGCCCACCCACACCTAGGGTGAAGGGAACAGGTGTAACTGATCTTTATTAAGTTTTTTTTCATAGTGAAGCCTGGATAAGCCAAATAAGTTTAAAAAAAGAAAGGAAAGAAAAAGGAAATTCTTAGTTCTTTATGCACATGTTTGAATTAAGGATCCTTATTGGGATTCAACAAGAGTCAGAATCAAACCACACTTTGAGTCAGCTTGGTCTTGTACATGAAGATTGTTTTTTTAAATTTTTTATTATTAGTTAAGGTATTACAAATGTGTCCTCATCCCCCCCATTAACCCCCCCCCCCCCCGCCCCGCAATGAAGATTGTTTTATTAAAAAGTCAGGTGAATAAGTTTACCCAGTTAAACATTTTACAAGCATTTCAGTGCGTTAGTATTCTCTGTGTTTGCTGGATATTGCAGTCTGTTTAGAGAACTGAGTCACAAGGGTATTATTCTTGGTAGCATAAGGTGAAAGTTTAATGCAAAGCTCAGAAGTGGAATCAGTTGTGTCTTAATAAGTAAGGTACAGGGTGAAAGCAATTGATTCATTTGTCATTACTCATATGTTTTAAATACAGATTTTCAATAACTTCACAAAATTACTTGTTCATTTACTCAAACAAGCTTTTACCATATGCCTTCCACTGTGCTGGACTCTGGGGTGCCAGATGATAATACCATTTATGGAATGCTTATTTTGTACCAGTAAACATGTTACATTCATCTAGTAAATATTTACTGAGGGTCTGCAACGTGCTAGCTGCTGGAGTTTAACGCACAGGAGGGCTGTGGTTCCTATGCTTATCTAGTGGGTAGTCGGGCAGGACATAAAAAGCATTACCAAGCTAATCACAGGTTTCAGAATGTAAATCAGATCTCAGTGGCTTCCCGTCCCTTCTGAGTGGAAGTGGCCCCCAGAGTTTACCCCAATCTGGTCCTCCTCAGTCCCCCATCCTGTCACCTTTTTAATCTTATCTGCTGCTCTTCTTTCTCATACTTTCACAGCCAAACTAGCTTCTTTGCTGTTTGAGGACCTTTGGACTGGCTGTTTCCTCTGCCTGTAATACCCCCTGTCTAGCCCCCATAGCTGTATTGTTCTCTCTGACCTCCTTCACTTTTTTAAAAAAATATATTTTATTGTTTTTTTACAGAGAGGAAGGAAGAGGGATAGAGAGTTAGAAACATCGATGAGAGAGAAACATCGATCAGCTGCCTCCTGCACACCTCCTACCGGGGATGTGCCCGCAACCAAGGTACATGCTCTTGACCGGAATCAAACCTGGGACCCTTCGGTCCGCAGGCTGACGCTCTGTCCACTGAGCCAATCCAGTCAGGGCCTCCTTCACTTCTTTACTCAAATCTTATTCTCAGCGAGGCTTCACTAAACCCAGGATTTAAAATCACCCCTCCACCCACGCCACTTTTGCAACTCCCATTCCCCCTTTCACAAGTTCTTTTTTTTTTCTTTCTCCACAGCATTTGTGACCATCTAACTAGTGCACTCCATATTTTACTCCTTTGTTTATGGCCTGTCTTCCCCCACTAGATTGCCTACTCCATCAGTGCTGTTGTAATCACCGTTGTATCCTCAGAATCTAGAACAGGGCCCGGTGTACAGTAGGTCCTTCAGAACTATTTGTTGAATGGATTTTGTTTGGTGGAAAGAAGGGAGCAACAGGATGCTGAGACACAGAGTAACCAGAGGTCCCTAAGTTAGTAGTAAGAAGGCTACTCGTGGAGGTGCGTGGATTTATTGGAGCTGAGGAATGGTCCTTGTGGCTGGGTACTGACAGCTGGCAGGAGAGGACTCCGTGAAGGTAGAGTGGTAATCAGGTGAAAGATGCAGGGCCTGAGTCCTCATATATGCCCTATTAGCGCTATATTGTAGTTTACAAAACTGGACATCAAGGAGATTAAGTAACTTTCTGAGGTTACACAGTAGGTGAATAGCACAGCTTAGGATAGGGAGCCAGGCTCTCAGACTTCAAAGCACCCACATTTGACCACATTGTAACATCAGAAGACACAGTCCCTATTCGGATGGAGCTGTTCATCCAGTATTCTAGCGGGCAGCTAAGCCATTGAGGTACTGGTGTGCCCGTGGCATGCTAGAAAAATGTATTCTTCGGGGGCTATGGTGTGAGGGGAGCACCTGATTCCACCTGGGAGTGGGGCGGGCCAAATTGGAAAAACAAAATAATAGTAATAATGGTCGTTATGAGATATTTCAGGTTGGCTGCATTTTAACAAAGAAGTGATGTTAATGTTAAATGCCTGTTCTTCGGGGCTTCACTGTGTTCATTTTTTTCCCCTTGGTTCATACCTATGTCATATGCCCCTTTTCCTCCTTTTACCAAATAAAGGATTGTGTCTGAAATAGTGTAAAATCATGAATGCTTAAAGCCTGTAATCCTTCATAAATTGCAGATTATGTTTGCCCCCCCCCCCCCATGATGAAAAAGATCATCTATTCTCTGACAGATAATTTAAATATCTGCATGCATTAGGTAGCCTAGGCCAGTGGTCGGCAAACTCATTAGTCAACAGAGCCAAATATCAGCAGTACAACGATTGAAATTTCTTTTGAGAGCCAAATTTTTTAAACTTAAACTATATAGGTAGGTACATTGTTATTAACTTAATTAGGGTACTCCTAAGGCTTAGGAAGAGCCACACTCAAGGGGCCAAGGAGCTGCTTGTGGCTCGAGAGCCGCAGTTTGCCTAGGCTAACTGCTATGTAACAAACAGTCCTGAAGTTGGTTATATGAGTGTATGTGTCACCCACCCAATAGTCCATCACTGATGTTTCTGGTAGGATTGCTCTCCTGGGCAGCTCCAAGCAGTGACTCAGGGACTATGTTCCTTCCATGTTGTGGCCCCTCCACAAGGATTTTTTTCCTGAGTGTACATGTTAATTCTGGGGGCTGGGAAGCCCAAGATCAAGATGCTGGCAGGTTTGGTTCTGGGGGGACTGTCTTCTTGGCTTGCAGACGGCCACCTTCTCTCTGTGTCCTCACATGGCAGGGAGAATGTTCTTCCTTTTTGATTGTAATCTTAAATTGTCTACACTTTGCAGTTTTGGGTGATCATTTTAAAAACAGCTCTGTTGAGTATAATTGACATACGGTAGTCTGTACACATTTACAGTGTAAAATTGTCCTTTTTTTTTTTTTTTTTACATATGTAGACCTGTAAAACCATTTCTTCCTCTGGTGTCTCCCTCCACCCTTATTCCCCTTCTCCAGATAACTAGAGACAGCTCTCTGACCCTATGGATTAGTTTGCATTTTTAGAATTTTATATAAATGGTTCTCTTTTTTTGTCCGGCTTCTTGCAATGAGTGCTTATTTATCATCCATATATCTTCTTTGTTCAAGTTCCTGTTTACATTTCTTGGCCCATTTTTAAAAAAATAGAGTTGGTTGCTTTCTCTTTATTGAGTTTTGAGATTTT